ATTTTGATTTTTGAAGGATCAAATCAAATAGTTAATTTTAAAAACTGATCAAAATAGTTAATTCTTTTTAGGTTTAAAACCTATTTTGGTCCTTATATTTTTATATTTTTTAGTTTTGATTCCCTCGACATTGAACTTTTAAAATCTACATTTTAGACATATATTTTTAACTTTTGTCTTTTATTTTTGTTTTTGTTTTTATTGTTTTTTATTTCTGAAATTTCTATTTTGGTCTCTATACCATTTAAAAATAGACCATTTTGGTCCCCTTATTTTGTTTCTTATGYCTTTGTTTTCAATCACAATTTTAGTACAACACTTCGGTTAATAAGTTTCTTGAAATTATAGTAAAAAATGTTACTTGAAATGTAGTCATAACTTGTAATAAATGATTTTCGTTGCATATAATTTTGTATTAAAATTTTACAAATAATGATCTAAATAGTCACTTTTAAAAGTTTAAAGACTAAAATAAATATTTTGAAAATATAAGAACTAAAATAAACAAAAGTTGGAAGTACAGGAACCAAAATAAACATTTTGAAAATATAGGGACCAAAATAAAATAAAGTCGAAATTACAAGGATCAAAATAGTATTTGAAACTTTATTTTTAAAGTCTAAAATAGAAAATTTAAAACTTCATGTATCAAAATGGTTAACCTTTTTAAGTTCAGAAATAAAAATTGATATTTTGAAATTTCCTTCCAAGACTAAAATAAAATAAATTTTAAAATTTTAAAATAAAATGGAATATTTTGAAAGTTTGAAAATCAAAATAAAATAATTTCAAAAGTTYAGAAGGTCTAAAATGAGATTTAAAGTTTTTTCTAATATCAATGTCCACAATGGTGCCAAAATATAGTCAATGAATAAAAATATGTAAATGAAGTTTATGATATATTAAAATAATTAGATTTATATTAAACTGTTGTGAGATTTTCTAATTAAAATAAATATAAATTGTACAAAATCATTGAAATTTATTTTATTTTATTATTATTTTGGGCAAAGGGATTGGAAAAATATTTTGGATGTGTTATATTCCTCTTTGCCCTAAACAAAGAAATCCCACAGGAATCCACCGAGGAGACAAGATATCCATCCCTCTTCCATTTTCAACCGTAGGGATCTTTTCAGAAGATCACGATAAAGAAAAGTTAGAAATGTTAGAAAGTCTAAAGTTTTAATTTTTATAATACATACCTTAAATTCATTTTTATTTTCTCAACTAAATTTTTTCGAGGCAACGATTAACATGAGCAGTTCAAGTACCTAACTTCTTTCCTTAAAGTTAGAAGTTCGATTTCCGGTTTCCACAATTGTTGTATTAAAAAAATTAAGACAATCGCATTATAGAATTTGAACTCATGCCTAAAAAAAATTCTATTTTAGTATTTGGAATTTACTCTAAACCAACCAAAATAATTTTAGTCTCTTTCGGTCCCTTACGATCAACATTCCACATATAGTTAATTTATGACATAGAAATTAGTCCATGATTCAAATATTCGTCAATATATATTGATATATATCCATCAGCATATCACATAAATTAAAGAGTAATATCGATATTGAAAATCAATCGGTTAACTACTAATATGACTCCTACCTTATTTTCAAGTAAAAATAACTTATTTATTAATTAAAAAGTATTTTATAAATTTCTTCAATATTTACCAAAATATCTATCTATAAATCTACAAAATTGAGATCCCAATGTCATCGTCCTATTATTAATGATTAGAGTAAAAATTGAGAAACGATAAAGTGAAAAGTGAAAAGGCTGTTTGTTGCAGAGAATGTCTGAAAATTTTAAGGTGGAAATAAAATTTTATGAAAAAAGATATCATAATAGCTGTCGGGCGTGTGTAAGAGACCCGGCTGACCAACCCGAGTCAAAGCGGACAAAATGCAATTAAAACATCCACAACTGGCGTGGTCGGGCCGGTGTCCGACCGGGTCATGCGCTCCGACCCGCAAATACTCCTCTCCTTTTTTAATAATTACAGAGAAATATGGCTGTCAGATAAATAGAACAAATCATTTTAAAAACCCCTTTTTAATCATCAAAATGTCACATATATTATTATTATTATTTTCAAATATATACTTATTTTTAATGTTATGTTTGAAATGATGATGGTCTGTATTGAGGGGGTGCATCTTGTCTGTTAAAGCGAAGGA